CTTTTCTACATTTGTTGTTAAGTGCCGTAGAGTTGGTTCCAACTCATAGAACCCTATATAGGTTTTCTGAGGAGCAGCTGGAGAGTATGAGCCAGCAACTTTGCAGTTCAAATCAAGTTTGCAGTCTAGTGCTTGTCCTACAGCACCACACATACATTTATCATGTATTAGTCCATTGGTGAGGATTTTTCTTTTCTTTACACTGAGATGCTGGCTGTACTGAAGGCTGTGGTCTTTGATCTTCTTTGTTAAGTATTTTAAGTCATTTGTGCTTTCAGCAAGCAAGGTTGTATTATTTACATATTGCAGATTGTTAATGAGTCGTCCGTCAATCCTGATGCCATGTTATTCTTCATATAATGAAGCTTCTCAAATGTGATCAACATACAGATTGAATAGTATGGTGAACCAGTAAAATACTGGCACACATCTTTCCTGATCTTAAACCATTCAATATACCTTTGTTCTGTTCTTGGTCTATGCATATGTTCCTGATGAGCACAATTAATGTTCCAGAATACTCATTCTCCACAATGCTGTCCATAGGTTGTTGTAATTCACATACTCAAAAGCCTTTGCATAGTCAATAAAGCACAGGTAAACATTTTTCTGGAGTCCTGGTGTTTGTCGCTGTGGGTTAATGAGCCAGACTGCAAAGCTGTTTGAATTGCAAGGAAGGTGATTCAAGCTCACCAGCTGCTCCTCGGAAACCCTATACAGGGTTGCTATGGGTCGGAACCAAATCGATGGCACTTAACAACAACAACAACAAACATCTTTCTGGTATTCCCAGCGATCCACTCCTCCTTCCACATCCTTTCCTGAGTCCGGCTTGAAACTGTAGCAGTTAGTTCCCTATCAATGTTGCATCAGTTTTTTATTTAGCAAAATTTTACTTGCATATGCTATTAATGAAATTGTCAGATGGTTTCCACAATCTGTTGGGTCGCCTGTCTTTGAAATGAGCACAAATATGTATCTCTTGCTATTAGTTGGCCAGGTAGCTGTCTTCCAAATATCTTGACATAGAAGAGTAAGTGCCTCCAATGCTGTTAACAGTTTGTTGAAAGATTTCTATTTGTATTCCATCAATTCCCAGAGCCTTCTTTGCCAAAGCTTTCAGTGTACCTTGGACGTCTTCCTTCAGTATCATTGACTCTTGATCATACGCTATCTCTTGAAATGACTGAACATCATATATTTCTTATTGGTATAGTTACTGTGTAATCAATCCTTCTACCTTCTTTTGATGCTTTCTTCATCCCTCAATATTTTGCCCATTGTTGTTGTTGATGTTATGTGCCGTGGAGTCGGTTCCGACTCATAGTGACCCTGTACAAGGTTTCCGAGGCTGTAAATCTTTACGGGAGCAGAAAGCCTCATCTTTCTCCTGCGAACAGCTCGTAGTTTCAAACTGCTGACCTTGCGGTTCGCAGCCCGATTTGTAGCCACTACGCTACCAGAGCTCCTTATTTTGTACATAGCATCCTTCAGTGTTTCATTGCAAGCCTTGACTTTTTCTTCTGTTCTTTCAGCTTGCAAAATGCAGAGCTTGTTCTTCCCTCTTGGTTTTCTAACTTCAGGTCTTTAAATATGTCATTATAATACTTGACTCTCTTCTCGAAATGCAATTTCAAATTTTCTGTTCAGGGTCAAATTTTTGCTCTTGTGGATTTGCTTTAATTTTCTTCAGCTTCAGCCTGAATTTGTCTAGTAGTAATTGATGGTCTGTTCTACAGTCTGTTTCTGGCCTTATTTTGGCTGTTGATATGGAGCTTTGCCTCTGTCTCTTCCCATGAATGTATTCAATTTGATTTCTGGGTATTCCATCTTGTGAATGAGTATAGTCATCTTTTATGTTGTTTTAAAAAGTTATTGGTCTTGCAAAGTTCTGTCATGCTATCGCCAGCATCATCTCTAGCACTGAGGACATATTTTCTAACTACTGACCCTTCTTTGTTTCCAACTCTTGCATTCCAATCACCAGTAATTATCAACACATGTTAACTACATATTTGAACAATTTCAGACTGAAGAAGTATGTAGAATTCTTCAATTCCATCACAACTGGCTTTAGTAACTGGTGTGTAAGTTTGAATAGTAGTAGTAATAACAATTGTTCCTTGCAGGCATATGGATATTATCCTTTCACAGACAGCATTACACTTTAAGATAGATCTTGAAATATATTTTTGATGATGAAAATGACACCATTCCTCCTCAATTTGTCATTCCCAGCATAGTAAACCATATGATGGTCAGATTCAAAATGGACAATACAAGTCTATTTCAGCCTACTAATACCTAGGATATCAATCTTTATGCATTCCATTTCATTTTTGACAGCTTACAATTTTCCCAGACTCAATCTTTGTAAATTCCATGTTATAGTTATTGATGGATGTTTGCAGCTGTTTCTCCACATTTTGAATTTTGCCACAATATCATATGAAGGGTCTGAAACCTCCATTCATGTTATTATGATCAACTCTACTTTCAGTAGGCATCATCTCTTCTCCAGTCATATTCTGAGTGCCATCCAACTTGAGGGCTTATCTTCTGACAACATAATTGACAATATTCCACTGCTATTCATAATGTTTCAATATTCAATATTCTGGTGCTATCTGACAGTGCTCTACTGCTATTTATGAATTTTTCAGTGGCAACATTCAGAAGTAGTCTGCCTCTCCTTCAAGTCTGTCTTAATCTGGAAGCCCGGCTAAAACCTGTTCACATCTAACTCTGCTGGTATTTAAGATACTGGTGGGCAAAGCTTCCAGCATCCCAGCAACAGGCAAACCACCAATGTATGACCAACTGACAGACAAGTGGTGGTGTATTTATGCTTTCTCAAATTTAGATATTCTGGAAACATGAAGAATACACAATTCGCTATGTCCATTAAATTAAAAATTCTTACATTTTCTGAGAAGGTAGTCTTGCTATTTTGAACAGCTTCCCTCAGGACTTTTGCATGAAGATTGTCTACAATTGCAGCTGGATGTTGGGTATTAGCACAATGAACCATTGCTTCAATATATCTGAGTGAAGTAAAAATAGTAAATAAAAATGTTAACTATCACTTTAATATTATGATCTAGTTTATGTAAACATATCAATAAAATTTAGTCAATTGGGATAGTGAAACAGTTATTCAATACTGGAATAAGACTGTCTTAGCCACGTTTAAAAAAATTATACAAAGAAAATATTTTTGAAATTCTATCCCGTTCACTCCCCAAAATCACAGTTTCCAGAATAGGCAATGGTCTTACCTTTAATAATCTCTCTTAGATTATATCCTGTGTTCCTCATTACATTTTATTTGTATGACATCTCATATGATATAAAACATTAACAATATGTTATCACAGAAAACTATGCACCTCTGCAGTGAAAGTAATAATATTTAATAAATTTAATAAAAAATGTTTTTTGTTAAATCCCATTATTCCTGACCTCTTTCAAAACTTACTGTTCACCAAACAACTTTGCACTTCATTATGTTCCATTTTAGCTTTATTCATGTTAGTTTTGACTTCCTAGATAGACTGTAGGTTCCTTACAAAACAGAACATGTATTACTTATCTTTTATCCCTCATTAACTAGACAGTAGTAAAAAAATGGAAAATTATTCATTTCTAAGTATTAGACCATTTCAGGCTCATCAGCCCAACTATGAAAAGTTAAAAAAAAAAAAAGTGCAATATAATTATCTCAGACTGAAAAAGTAATAAATGACATCTAACTTAAACATAGACCTTTAAAAATATTTCCATTTTTATTCAATCACCATCAATATTCTATATGAACATGATATTTATCATTTTATAAAACTACATTTATACCCCCTTCCAAGAATAAGACTCA